AGCAAAGCAAAACACCACCCCCCCTCCCCGCCGTCATCTAACTAAAAATAGAAAAAGTGATGGAAGAGGATCTCTTGAGCCCAAGAGCTGCTGTGAGCTATGATGTCACAGCACTCTACCCAGGGTGACAGCTTGAGACTTCGTCTCAAAAAAAATAAGTTCACAGTTTGTTGCCTCTGGGGAGTTGCTTTTAGCAGAAGATAGAGTAATGTTATTTTTTTAGTGTTACATGACTTTTTAAATTATGCACTTGTTTAACGTTCCTTAATATAACATTTTAACTTGAGTCCAGGCATGGTGGCTCACACCTGTAATCCTAGTCCTCTGGGAGGCCAAAGTGGGTGGATCACTTGAGCTCATGTGTTCGAGACCAGCCTAGAGCAAGACCTTATCTTTAAAAATAGCCAAGCATTGTGGCAAGTGCCTGTAGTCCCAGCTACCTGGGAGGCTGAGGCAAGAGAATTACTTGAGCCTAAGAGTCTGAGGTTGCTGTGAGCTATGATGCCACAGTACTCTACTGGGATGACAAAGTGAAACTCTTCCTTTTTCAAAAAAAGAAAAAAAAAGCTACATTGGATGTTTGAAGAACTTAAGAAGATCAGATACATCTAATTTATAAACATTTACTAGGGTTTATTTCAATTTAACTTACGTTATACTTTGTTTTACAATTAAAGCTTTAATTAGAGAATTTAGAAAAGTGGTTAATGGGAACTTGATGAATACATAAGCAACCAGGTGTTCATAAAGGAGACTCAAGAGCAAAGTTAATATATTTAAGTGTGTTAAAATATATCTGTAAAATAAAAGGATGATTATAATATCCTATGTGTAATCCATTATTCATCATAAAAAAATATATTTTTCTTGCTAAGTTCTGAGCAAGCCAAGTAAGTAATCCTGGGAAAAGTTGAGAGCATATCAAGAAATAGGAAGGATTGAAAGGTTACTTAGACAAAGGAGAAAGATGGTTCAACAGTTAATCAGCTCTAGTGATCACATACAATAATAACAAAGTAGGAGTATTCAACAGCATTCCAAATGATAAAGTAGTCAAATGGAAAACTGACTACAAAAACTGCATTATTCAGGAAGAAGCTGAATGGCCTTATTAATTATACCAATAAGGTATATAAAGACTTTACGTAATACTAGCCAATAAGATCATTTTACTAAGATGACAGACAATGGGCAGATGGTTTTTAGAAAAGTTCAGATCTTGGCTTGGCACCTGTAGCTCAGTGAGTAAGGGCACTGGCCACATGCACCGGAGGCAGAGGATTAGAGCCTGGCCTGGGCCTGCTAAACAATGACAACTGCAACCAAAATAGCCGGTCATTGTGGTGGGCACCTGTAGTCTCAGCTACTTGGGAGGCTGAGGCAAGAGAATCGCTTAAGCCCAAGAGTTGGAGGTTATTGTGAGCTGTGACACCATGGCACTCTACCGAGGGCGACACAATGAGACTATCTCAAAAAAAGAAAAAAAAAGTTCAAATATCAAAAATTTAAAATCTATACAAAGGGTCTTAAAATGTCCCATGAAATAACTAGTGTTGTTTTGTTATAAAAGGGGCCCCAAGAAAAGTCATTCAGTCTGCGCAAGTAGGTCTTATGGGTGACCCAAGGATCAGCTTGTTGTTAATGCAACTTAGTTTGTCTAAGAAGGTATTACTATTTTGAGTATGGTAAGATTACTGAAACTTGAGGAAGACATAAAAAGTACATGGTATAACAACCTTAACCTAGAACATAGAAAATTAGGACCCTGGGACCCTTATGTTGAAATAAAGATAAGAAAAAAAATTAAATCCATGGGGCTAACATATTTATAATTGGTTTTGGTATAATTATGGTAACATTCTGGGTGTGTCTTTTCTGTTTCTTAAAGTATTTAAAACATTTAATAGAATCTGATATTTTAGGTTGATTTTAATGAAATGTTCATTATTTTTAAATTCTTAAGTTTCATTTTATAGGCAAATTAACGAATTCATGATATATTTACATCTTAAGTCAGTGTTTAAATGAACAAATAAAAAAAGAACATGCGAATGAATCTACACAAATATAGTCATTTATGACACTAAGGAATGTATAAGAGGATTCTAATTTATAATTCCTGTTCATGAAGAATTGGTGAAAATCCTTGGCCAAATATGGTCTGCTTCAGTCTAGACACCTCTTTTCTGGGACTGGGTTCTGAAAATCCTACGTTGTTCTTGTTTTTTTTTTTTACCTATGCTAAGATACACCGCCTTGTATTAGAGCCCCTAGAACTCTGTTATATTCAAGTTTTTTTCTGATTGCAAAATTAGTCTTTGATCAAAGCCTTTATCAACTGTAGTTAATCATT